ACAGTCCGCCTTTCAAAATTTGTCACGGGATGAGCTTTAGATGCACATTTAATCTAATAAATAAACAAGAGCACGAGGAAATATCCACGTATCCACGATACCAATTTATTTAAAGAATGCTGTGACGTAGGCTGTTCACCGGATGCCATTAAACACACGTCTGTATATTTCATTGACAATAATGTCTTCCGTTCTCGGTCAAACAAGTAGTACATTTCATTCATAAAAGGTTTCCTCAATGATTTTGAAGAGATTAAACAAATGTTGATAAAGTTTGAAACTTATAATTTAATTCGTCGCATTGATAAGTATTTTAATTTAAATATTCCATGATCAAAGAAGTTGCTTTAATGCCCTGTTTACACTTAAAAATAAAAAAGATATTCAAAAATTCACTTTGTTTTGAAAAGGAAAATGTTAACTGTGATTACCGGTAAATAAAAATACCAGAAGGAAAAAAATCGAGTTATAACAAGTAAAAAATAAAACTTGCACTTAGTTCTCAGTAAGAAAACCAGCTGAAGATTGAATGGTTACAAATACATTGTCGTTGACCTTCCCAAAGAAATCTGTTGGTTTTTCCAATTTAATCTCTTCTCAAAAAATGATTTTTTTTATTGAACCACCTTTCCCTTCCTGCACAAAAATATGCAAGGTCCGATGGTGACGCCAAAGTCCGATGGTCTCGCCAAACCCCGATGGTTTGCTATCGTTACGGACGCCAAAGTCCGATGGTCACGCCAAAGTCCGATGGCTCGTTTCCCATGACACGCGCGACGCTAAAGTGCGATGGTCTGACACGCCAAGGTCCGATGGTGCGGAGGAACAAACAACGTTTATGACGTCACAATAATCCGACGTCAATCCTTGACGCCGTTGTCCCGCATTCAAAAGCCATCATTTCATAATTCGTTATCGAATACAATTTTATTGGTTTTTGCTTATTGTTTGCACCTTCCAGATACATTAGGATTAGCCCTCGCACACAACTCGGTTGATTAGGGTTAGTCCTTGCATTGTACAACCCAACAGATTTAGGGTTAGTCCTCGCACACTAGTCGAGTGATAAGGATTAGTCTCGCACCCACCAAAGATACCTCGGTTATAGTTAATGCACACTTTTCGAGCGTTTAGGGTTAGTCTCGCACCTATCTCAGAGATTAGGGTTAGTTTTCGCATTTAATAATTTTTTATTTATACTTGTTTTTTTAAAGACCTTGGAATGGTGCGGCATTGAGGTTTGGTGCAGTAGTACTATGACGTCGTAAACGTTACATGTTTTCCGCACCATCGGACTTTAACGTGTCAAACCATCGGGGTTTGGCGCAGACCATCGGACTTTGGCGTGACCATCGAACTTTGGAGTCCCATGGCACTTTGGAGTCCTACAAATATACACAATTTGATTCCATTACTAGTAAAAGAAAAGTGGATACCCTTTGTAAAAATAATTCCTTTTTGTTTTCACGCACATATACTTACACGCATCAATAATAACTCACTAACACACATATTTTAAAAAATCAGTATTTGATATTCTTGATAGTCGTTACTATGTTAAAAGTTAAGAAAACGAACAGTATTTGGCCTTATAATTCTTAAAAACAATGTAAACTTTTAAAAAGACACAAAGGACGCACTCCTACAAATACTAGAGATGGGAGCAGGTCCCACGGAGGATATAATAACAATCATGATAATATTATTAGACTTCAGATCGCACTCATTTTTTGCACTCAAAAGTCATTTGTTCATCACAAATGCAGATGTTACCACCGTTTTGATTTCACTACATGATGTTAAGAACTCGTCAAACAGTTAGGTTATAACCAGAACCGATCATTATTCTTTGGGCTTTACAGGATTGGATCACGTTACCAACGAAGTTCATTTTTAAGTGAACTTTTTAACATTAGTATTTATTTCTTATTAAAACTATTAAAGTTAGATGTTGGAAAACTAGAAAAATACACATTAGTAAGTTCACTGAATCCTTTTTTTAAAGGATAGTAATTATTTTTAACTTTAACAGTGTTTAATGGATGGACTACTGTATCTGATAATAAAACAAGTCCCTACATCATAAATTCGAGTCAATGAGTGAAAACACGTGCACCGAATTTTGATCGGTGCATTTTCCGATGACTGCAACTTTTTACGCTTTCAGTTAAATCTTTTGAACTTTTAAAAGTTGGTTTTATATTATGATATTATGAGATGATGAATATGGCAATTTTTATAAACATCTACAAGCATGTGCAATGAAATCAAATGGACTCGTACTGGTTTTATATGATTATGTTCAATTTCATACCCCCTCCCCCCACCCAAAAAAAAAACCACCGTAGGGAATAATTTAAAATTCTATTTTAGATTTTTTTTTTACTAATTTAAAGAACTTCTTTGAAATATGTCACCAAAAGGCAGTAGAGGGTTTTGGAGACATCTGTAATATCTCATTACATTTGAAACTAGTTTAAAGTTTTAAATGCAATTGCACCACGTGTTTCCTATATTTCGCTGTAATTTGAGAAAGTTAAAAGTTTAAGACTTCAAAGTCAAAAAGCCACGCGAAAGCCCGGTGGTCTGTTCCAAACCCCGATGGTTTGACACGCCAAAGTTCAATGGTGCGGAAAAAAAAACAACAAACGATAATGACGACAAAGTACCAAACTGCTATACCGTGACATGCCAAGGTCAAAAAAAAAAATGTTTTCAATTACTGTCAAATCAATGATTTTCGTGAGGGTTTAATTTTCGTGGTTTCCAAGGTATGAATTCGAAGAGACCCACGAATTTATATCCAACATGAAATGCAATTTTTCACATAAATTACTACTGAACAATTCTTCAACCACGAAATCAAATCCCCATGAACCAATATATTTTCCTCAAACCACTAAAATTTGACCCCTCGAAAATATGTGATTTTACAGTATGCAAATAAATATGAAGTACAGTGACAAAGCCTTACCCTAATCAGTCGAATAGTGTGCAATGACTAACCTCAAATCTCTCTAGTGTGCTCAGAATAACTCATTAACAGTCAAAAAGTGCGCAAGAACTGACTTTTATCATTTGAGTGGTTTGAGAGGACTATACATCATATTTCTGGTGGGTGCAAGAGTAAAACTGTATGCAAAGATGAATATAACGAATTGGTGGCTTTTAAAGCAGGTCAACGGCGTCAGGGATAGACGTCGGACTATTATAAACCTTGATTGTTTCTGCACCATTGGACCTCGGTGTATCAGCTAGACCATCGCACACTTTAGCACCACGCGTCTTTTATGAACGAGTCATCGGACTTTGACGTCCGTACCGAAAACAAACCGTTGGGATTTAGCTCAGACCATCTGACTTTACGTGACTGTGGGACTTTGGAGTCTATAACCTAATATTGAACAAATGCGATAGAATGAAACGAGAATATGTCAATGAAAACAAGAAGATGAAGATATAGGTGTGATCAATAGTGAATTAAAATTTATAAGTAAAGATTAGTACCATCAGCCAAGTGGTTAATAGAAATTATAAAAAATTAGATTTCTTCCTGTGATTTTATCAGGAGGATGTTTATTCCTCCATTATTTATATCTATTTAAATAATTAATTTTATTTCATTTTTGAAGGTTAATCCCTTGGTGTTGCTCACTGTCAAAACCAAAATCATAGACAGTTCTTATTCATTAGTTTAAAAAAGGATCATGCATAGGCAATAGGAAACAGATGGTTAAATACATTATTAATATTCAAGACATTCATAACCACACAGTTAAGATTTTCCTGAAATGATGAAAAATTTGTGCCATCGTTTACTTACTGGGAATTTTATTGTCAGTGTTTTTTTTTCCCTCTAGAAATTATCCTTTTCAAAGAGCTTTGAAATTTGCACTGAAAAGGAACATAAATACATATATTTAGTTCTAGCTAGATTTTTCCCAACCAGTCAGTAAAAAATAGCATTCAAATGCTTAGCATGTTATTGTAAGGGTCATATATATAGGTTTCCTGCATATGTAGTTTTACTGCTTTCTGTTAAATAAAAAATATGGATATTACGAACAGTATTCAAGCTCAAAAGTCCTTTCAAACTATACTAATCAAGAGCAGAGCTAACAGGGACCTCTAAAACATCAGAGGTGGGATCAGGTGCCATAGAAGAGTGAGCAATTAACCGATGCCGATCGGTCACACCCACCGTGTGCTCCTTGTCATGATGGGGAAATAACGGGAAAATCTGTCGATAATTCATTGTGTAAATAATGGTCTAAAAATTAGTTTGAAAAACGTTAGTCAGCATTTGACAGTGGTATATTGTATCAAACAGGCCATGAAAACGAACGTTTTAGTCTGCGGAAAAATCAACAGTTTTGATCAAATAAACTTTACTTAATGAAAATAAGTGAATCTGAACACCCTTCAGCATATACACTACTTTTCAAGAATTTTGAGTTTACGCAAAAGTGTAACACCTAAATTTCACCGATCAACCTTATGCTCTCTACACCGACATATCATTCTTCTCGTAAATTATAGCACAATATCAGTATAAATCTTAATCGTTTTAGCTAATATGCTGTTGTTTTAGTAGGATTTTATTGGCAATTTAGACTTTGAAAAATATTTATCCTTTGACCTTTCACGATGGGAGTGGGAAGCAACAATAAAATTATTTCATAATCCTAGACAGGATTTTGACTCATCTTTGTTTTGTTCAACAACCACCCAAGGGCGGTGGTGAAATGTTTTAACCTTCGCAGAGATTCTTACTTCAAATAATGTTTGTCATATCATAAATCAAAGAGAAACAATCTACGCATGTGCTGTCCAAAAAAAAAAGTTCCAAATTTGCCCCTTGTCTTCTCGAGAGATCATCCAGGACCTTGTTGGTAGGCGTTTTAGCTTTTTCCGGAAATCAATCATTGTAATAGCCTTATCAATGAATCCATGATATAGGAAATGAAATCGGATGACCATTGAAGCAAGTTTTTTGCTAAAAATATACGTTTCCACTGGACAAACATCAGACAAAGGCCTTGTTCCGTATTTTCATTAACCTTACCGAGTCGAGGCCAAGGAGACATTGAAAGAAGTAAATTAAGCGAGAAATAATAAGCTCTTTTTATTTTAGTTGGATTTAATTATTTATTTTCCCCCCACAAAATATTTGGTATCTAGGGACCACCTTATAGCAATATGAAATAATGACATCAGCGCGTCAGTGAACTATAAATTAGCTGGCAAAAGGATAATTAAGCAGAGTGTAACCGAACGGAAGAGTTGCCGGTTATAAAAACGGACGGAACGAGTTCAGGCACCGATAAAAAAGGACTTATTGAGTTATATGTATGGTAATGATAAACGTGTGATCTATTTTCATTGAGTGAAATACCAGATATAGTTTGTTGTTCAGGTTTGGTCCATCCACTTGTGAATGACGTGTAGGTGAAAAAGATTTTTTTTTCTTTCCGCAACTAGCAACAAAGGTATTTCAAACAGCGTTTGTCAACATTAACGTACGAGGTGGGAAGTTGTTTTATTAAATAACTGTACTTCCTCCTTAAACTTTCATAAAAACATTAAAATTTTTAAGTATCATACGGAAATAAAAAGACAGTTCTTTGACACACTCAAGACATTTTCAAAATGGCAAGCATGAACCGAATGGTGCTGAACTCGTTATGTGTATTAGCTCTTTGCACGATTGCCTTAGGTGGATTTTCAGTGGAAAAATTTTGTGAAAATGCTTGCAATAGAGGACGCGGGGGAAATTTATGTAGATGTAATGGTTTTCATTTCGCAGGCAAAAGAACCGTTTTAAGTGACATTTTACCAGTTCCAAATACATATTCTACTCTTTATAAGGAAGAACAGATGGAGGAGAGAAATCCCTCTACTACCAATGACCTAGAGCGTCTCAGGCAACATTTTCGCAGGGAACAATTTACAACGACGAACAAAATCAAGGAAGCACAAATGTTTATCCAGTGGCTTTTAGAACACGTTGATGTTTTAAAGTAAGTAACCATGTCAGATTTGATAAAGTTTTATTTATTCTTTTAAACGTTTTCATTCACAATTACATTACGCAACATCTAAATTGACTTATTGGCTGTTCAAGAGTTCAAGAATCAAAACCTTTTATGGCAGAGGTAATTAATATTTTGCAAGGTACCATGAGTAGTGAAACAAAATTACAGCATCATGTTAAGGTTTTGGGGGCGGAAATGAGTATCCTTATAAAAGTGAATTTCTTTTTGATTTCTAGATTAATATTTTTCACTTAGAGCAGTTTTAATAGTTTAAAAGTGTTTGTAAAATGTGCTTTAGGTATATAATGAAAAGCACTGCATGTAAAACAATACCCCCTCCCTCTCCCCCATTCCTCTTCTTTGCACCCCTTTTCCTTCTGAAATTCAACTGCAAAGCGTTAATATATATAACGACTTTAATGCTATGTTACTTAATTTCTTCATTTGCATTTGTCTTATTTCTCAAAGAGTGCACTGAAAATTTCTAAAACCATTGGGTAGGTAGTCTGTCTTTTAATTTATTGGTAACTCTCTGCCTTTGTGTTAATTAGATACATTGTAACCTTAGTCTCTGTAAGGAATTCATAAACATGAAAATTTAATTAAGAAGCCGTATAAGCTTTTCTTATGATCACTCCAAATGAGTCCCGATGGTAGCCGTAGGTGGGAGGAGAGACTGTTTTTCTAGATGATCCAGATTTGGGATAAATATAATTATGGAAAGCCAATAAAGGAACAAAGTGAACAAAATTAATTAAAAACTATAAATTATATACAGGGTAGCTCATGAGAAATACAATGTTAGAATCGATAAGAATTGTGTTACATAAACATATTTGATAAAATTATACCTTAATATTGAGATCAAATGTTAAATATTTAGTCTCGTGAAACAGATAAACAAACTAAAAATGTCTAATTAAAATAAATGTTTCAAAATTTAAAATTCATTCCATACGAGTCATTACAGAAATCAACACAGGAACCTCCTCCCTATTCAAACTCCCGTTACAATTAAATTTATAGAAGCTCCTTTATGTGATCATATCTGGATTTTTACGGGATTGTTTGGATAAAAGAACATTATTGTGTACATTTAAAGCCCAAAATGTCAGATGAACTGTCACTTAACCTTTTCCCTGACTTTTATCGTAAGTGTCTATTCAAATCAAACCACTCTTGTTAGTTTGCAGCACGGAGAGATTTTTAAGGGCACTCTCCGCAATATTTGGGCACTTTTGTGTAGTTAAACTGAACAAACTTTTGAATATTATTTTATCTGCACTGATAGTCATAATTAATATTAATCCATGTACATGTATTCTAAACATAATACAAGTCTAAGATGCAGTTGAAAACTTTATTTGCATATATTTTTTTAATCATTCCTTAATTGTCTTTAGGGATGTTTTCCTAGTTAATAATGTCATGCCCACTACATTAAAATGAATCAATTAATTATATAATATCATCCAATATGCAATATAATTTCAAAGTCTAAATCATTTTGCATTATTGTTCATGTTTCAGGTAATTAAAAACATTTTAGATTTCGATGTCCAAAATTCACCTTTCATTAAAAATACTAATAAGATTAAACTCAGATTAAAATAAATTAAATTTTGTAAACACAAATTTTCAATCATAGGTTGAAATATAGTTATTATTTAAATATATCATTAAAATGTCAGAGAGAGAGAGAGAGAGAGAGAGAGAGAGAGAGAAAGAGAGATTTTGTTTCATTGAGGAGAGTTTATCGGCTTTCAACAATGATCAAAGCAAAAAAAGTAACAAATAAAAACAAAAAGATACAATTGATCAACATTCACTATTGAGTTTATGTATCACTCCCCAATAGAAGTCTTAAACTTCACAGCTGGTATTTCCATCAGTGTAATTGAGACAACCCAATAAGAGAAAAAACAATTGGCTCGTCTACGAACGATCAAATACCCAAAATGGCAGAGATCTGTCGAAAAGATCAGTTTGAAAATTGTAAATTGTTATTTGATGGAATTCTCAGGTGGTATGGAATAATCAGTCTTTGTCAGAATCTGTTTTGAGACGATACCAAGGGGATAGGACTCAGTGATAAAAATCGCTATAGAGAATGTCTGATACAATTTCCCCTCACGGTTAGATTCAGTAAAAAATGTACAGATAGCTAAGTATTTTTATGTATCAAACACATTAAATTGACAAAATTTTGGAATCTCTCTCTTTCTGCCCTAGTTTTGAAAAATAATTTTAATGTCATCTGCAATAAAAAGGAAAAATCCCTATAAATCATTCTTTCATAAATTCAAAAATTAAAAATTCGGCTATTTTTTTAAACGGTGTACGAAAAGAAAAAAAAACATGTAAGAAACACTATGGAAATGTAAAACTTCATTGTGATATTTTCTGACATCTTTGATAAAAGATTAAAATCTTTAAAGAAACATTAATATTTCAAAGACATTTACCTTTAAATTTGTGAGATAAAAGTTAATCCCTCTTAGTAGGTGGCTATCCAGGTGAATTAGATAAAAAGCTAAAAATAATCGTTTTGATCACGATATTTTGGGACTTGTGACGTCGTAACCTTGACAATGTTACCACCCTCGCCCGTCCCATCGTCATACAGAATCCCACTAAAAGTCATAGATGTCCCCTGATGCCAGCGAATATTAGTGATATTTTCTAAACATATTTAATTCTTTTGTAAAAAAAAAAGGTCAATAGATTTCTCGTGTTCAGCATAATTATCTACATTCTATTTTGGTTATAAAGCAAAGAAAAGGGTAGGGTTTTAGATTTATTAAGCCCTAAAAAATTATGTGTTTTAAAAAGGTTTTTAAAACTGGCTTAAATATAAACAAAGTATATGATTGAAATAAATAAGACAAGAATATGACATGAAGGAGTACCATTCTGAAAATATAACGTCATTCATTTGACGCATTTCTCTATTTTAAAGAAAAAAGTCTCAAAACGACTCATTTCAAGAGTTATTTTCCTTTAGAATATAGTGTCCACAGCCGTCGCTCGATTTAGTTTTTGGATATGTTGTGTAAATTCTTTGAAAAAATCTTTGTGGGTGATGCCCGTCCACATAAATATTATTTGAAAGAAAATTCCATTGAAAAATGGCGTCTTCTGCAATTTTTTAAGAAAATACGGAAAAGTGCACAAGTTTGTGACGTCAAATTAAAGTTAGCATTGAGAGGGTCATGAGAGAAAATAATTGATATTATCTTTATGCATGGAATTTCAAAGATTCAGAAAGCATGAGTTTTAATTTATACCTCATTTTTATTTTTAAGAAAAACACAGGGCAAGATGTGTATTGAAATAGCACAGCAGAACAGTAGAACAGTACCTTTTTCTTTAACCTTCCTTTAGATAAGCATTTTAAGACACATCTTAGATTCTCCATTTAAGATAAAATGTATCAAACCCTGAGTTATGCACTTAGAATACCGAGTATATAAAAAAACCCAAAAGAGACTATAGTTATAAATATGACAAGTAACTGCTCCACATGTTGGTACGTGTGCTTTGTTTTCTTTGAAGTCCAAAAACTGCAGAACAATATTAATTATTTATAATCTTATCACTCCCTCCTGAGCATTACATATTATATGAGGATAATTGCTCAAATGGGTAGTTCTGGTGTCATAAAATCTTAGTTTGGTAAACCAGGTCCCTTTGTAATGTTTAGATTTAAAGCTGTTTATGCAATCTGGTTTTCCGGTTTATATGTAAATATTTTGGAAACCTAAATCAAAGGCATTTATTTTGATTCTGGAGCATCTTGATATGGATGTATACAACCTAGAATGACAAACCAGAAACATACATTTTAATATGAGTTTTAACCATTCCTAAAAAAAAACTTAGTCCATATCTTTTATTTCTATTTTTGAATAAAACATAACGTCTTGAACTTAAAAAAAAGATAAATTTGTGCCTTACTTACAAAAAAAAAAAAAAAAAAAAAAAAATTGAATTTCAAAAATGATATGAATAAATTCGACATACATGTATATATTTTTACTAAGTTTAAATCTCGTACTCCTAATTCAAAATATTGTGTATGGCAAGCCCTTTTATTCGGAAAATAAAATTTATCTTAAAATTACAGAGGTATCTCTTATTTTAGAGAGCTATCTCCTAAAACAATAGAGATACCCCCAACTTAAAGAGATATATCTCTTTTTTAAGAGATATCTCTATGAAAAAGATATATCTCTTAAACTTAGAGAGATATCTCTTTTTATAAACGAGATATCTCTTCCACTTGAACAGATATCTCCTTCTCCTTGAGAGATATCTCTTTCGGAAAAATATATATCTCTGAACCTTAAAGAGATATTTCTATGACCTAGAGAGATATCTCTTTTCCTTTAGGAGATATTGCATTTGAGATTTTATGTTTACTTTTGTTTTCCTGAATATTAAACTTTTAGCACTGATGTTTATCAACAAAGGTGCCATTATCAAGCAAAAAGAGATTTGTTGTTTCAAACAAAGGAGATAATAGCATTATTTTTAAATTCCATTTTAAATATATTCTTCTTTGGAAGTATTGCATGAAGTACATTAAAGTTTTTTTCATAAGCTGAAAAAATTATTGCATTTGAGATTTTACTTACTTTTGTTTTTGAATATTAAACTTTTAGCACTAGTGTTTATGAATTAGTTTTTTTTTGTTGTTTCAAACAAGAGATTTATCTTTTTTTTTACAAAAAGATATATTCTTTAGGTATTGCAAGATATTTTTTTTCAACAGCGAAATATAAAGAGATTCTACTCTCCTGTTTTGCTTTCGTTTTAAAGTGGATAAAAGATTTTATTTTAAATATGGAAAAGAGATATCTCTTTCATTAAAATATCATTTTTATACCTTATAAAGATATCTCTCTAAGTAAACGAAATATCTCTCTTACAAAAGAGATATCTCTTTTGTTTAAAGAGATATCTCTCTAAGGTATAAATATATCTCTATTGGTCAAAAAGATATCTCTATAAGCTAAAGAGATATCTCTCTTATTAAAAGAAAATTTTTGTTTCACGAATAAAGTAAAATTTTTGTTGTATATGTCAATAAAAATGTAATTTAATGGGTTTATTGAATTATAGTATTATACCCTTAATTTGTAAATACGATTGACAATCTTTTTTTTTCTTCGGATAGATTTTTTTTTCATGTGTATCCGATACTTATAATCAATAAGTTATTATAAATCAACTATATGACTTCATAAAATGATTTTGTTTTTACCTTTACAGATCGGATATACCAGAAAAACACTCGAGCACGTATGGTATTGAAAATGATGAGTATGCGCCATGATTCGTCAGTTACATCATGCCATAAACTATTGGACAGTCCCCGAATTTGCTTCTCTTTATTTAACGTTATTGTTATGTAAAGATTTTCATATCATTAAGTTGTTCTATTTTTGCACACATTTTTAAAGTTATGTTTTTAATATGTTGTAATAAAAACAATATTTTTTTCAGTTTTATGATTTAGCAGTTTCATTATTTAATATTACTGTCATTGTTGAAATTTCATTCTCAATAATTTTGTTGTTGAAACCAAAATAAAAATTTAATTTTGTTAGCTGTGTTACAACTCAAAATGCAATAACAATGCAAAATGTAATAAACAAGGATTATTGCATTTGGCGTTATTATATTTTGCGTCGAAACCAACGCAAAATGTAATAACACGATTTTTGGATTATTACATTTTGCGTTGTTATATTTTGCGTTGATATTAAGCAAAAAGGAAGAACGCAAAATGAGAAAAAGAAATGACAAGAAAATGAAACAATATGAAAAAATATATACAGTATATACTAATTCTTTTAAAAAGATAGGATTTTATAATCTATTGATTTCATTAGCTGTTTGCATTTAAAATCGGTTCAATATTCAACTCATATGTGTTGCAAATTAGATTGTGCGTGCGGGGAAGGGTCGTTGTTGTTGGGGGCAGTTATTTTGTCGTTCAGTTGTTATTTTGCTTTTTGATTGACAAATGCAATTATTCAAAAATATAGATCTATTAATTTGTACTGGCACTGGGGGGTGGGGTATTAACAATTATGATTCCATGCTAGTTTGAAAATTCTCTCTCTCTCTCTCTCTCTCTCTCTCTCTCTTCAATTATAAATGGATTGTTTCTGCATTCCTATAGTAATACAATGATCAACATATGGGGTAAACACCCGACCCAATCCCTTCCCCTCCTCGCTAGACACATACACTTCCAATTTGCTAATAAATGTGCAAATGCCGAACATGCATATGAATAGCTTTTAAATGGAGCTATGGTCAATTTTTCGTAATTAAAAATGTTATTGGTTAGATATATGATGAGACTGATTTATAAAGAAGAAAAAAATTTATGTTTTATAAGTATAGTGTATTAAATAAAAATGTCAGAAACAGAGTAAGAAATAGACACACACAGAAACATTTAATTTGTCTGTAAAATGTGCACATGCCTCATTTACATATTCTAAGTATTTTGTAAAGTGAGTTTTTCCAGGGTTATATCATGTATATATTTAAATCAATTTAATGATGTTTTGTGTTTAACACAGTCCAAAAAATTAATTATATTTGGTTTTATTTACATATCAATTCATTACATTTTTCGCTGTATTCAACGCAAAAATTAATTAACACAAGATATAACAATGAAAATGTACGTTATTACATTTTGCGTTGATCTTGACGAAAAATGTTATAACGCAAAAACATCGTTTTATTACATTTTTCGTCGAGATCAACGCAAAATGTAATAACGCAAAATGTTATATTATTTTTGCGCTGTTATTACATTTCGCGTTGTAACATAGCTGTTAAAAACATTGTAATGGTAAATAATAGAATGTCAGCAAATACATGTATTGAAAACAGTGATGAAGAATGTGAAATTGCATATTCATCCATCGGCTTGAAATATCTAAGTTTGACAATGTGCTAAAGCCGTGATACATAATTAGCCACAAGCGAAAAGAAATTAAAATCAAAATTAAAAATAAAATTGTGGGCAGTCGGTGAACGAGGTGAAAATGAAAGATGAATTCCAAGCAACTATATGCTTTTATAAGGACTTTTATTTCACACATTTATATGATCTATAAACCTTCAGCAAAAACAAATTACAATCAATATGTAAGTCGAATACTGACTTACTTTTTTCATACGAATTGTCTGGACATTTTTCGAAAACTTTATTTTCTGCGAATGCTTACTCCACCACGATGAAAGATTTGTAATTTGATAATGTTTGGACTTTTGAGTTGATTATTGTTTGGTATCTCAATTATTCATATGTAAATCCCCTGAGATTCAATCATACATGTAATTAAAGTATGCAAAAAATAAGATAAAAAATCTTTTTCCACATATATGGAAACAGCAATAGTAAGACTGAGGCTCTAAAATTAGAGCTTGGTTCTGAAAACACGAGCAAGTCGTCAGAATACCTCATTTTGTAAGATTTTACATTGATCTTATTTTTTAAGCATACTTTAACATCGCCTGTAAATGACTGTATTCTCTGAATATTTCCCCCTTTATTCGATAAAAACTGTTGTTTATCTTATAGTCTGGTCCGATTTATAGAAAAAATACCTCTAACGGCAAATAATTATTATTTGGTCCAGCAAAGTTTTTTGACCTATTTTGAGTATGCTGAATCCGAAAAAATATGCTGGCCTCCATGAAAATGGCGTTAAAGAGGTCAAAATGGCGATTCAAAATGGCGGACATCCAATTTTTCTAATTTTCTCTTAATATCGTTCAAAAAGGAGAAATAATGTGTGAAGATCTCACTGAGTGTAATTCAAGTATATAAATGATAATAGAATGCTAACATTATTAGTTTAACTCAGAAAATTTAGTCGTTTCTACACTTAATTCGAATTTCTCTGAATTTTTTGTCTATTGTTCTATATTCTTCTTTGTTCAGGATTTTACATTTGCAAATATCCATACACTGCAGATTTGTATTTTTTCCTCTGCATCTCACTATTTTACAACTGAATGATGGCGCAGCTATAAGTTAAAAGTCAAAATGGCGATTCAAAATGGCGGATATTCATCTTTTTTAACATTATTTCTTAATGTCGTTTACATAGGAGAAAGTATTTCTGAATATCTTACTGAGCGTAGTACAACTATGTAAAATGCCTAAAAGAACACTAATATGATCACTTTAAATCGGCAAATTTAGTCGTTTAAATTTGAAATGTGTTAATTAGCTCAAAATGGCGATTCAAAATGACGTCTGATACACTCGAATTTCGTAGAAACTGCTTAATTCTGGTTCGTTTTGCAGAAAATAAATTACAGTTTGTTTTTTATATATATATATAGTGTATATAGTATATTGATTAGTCCATAAAATATGATAAAAAATACTTGAAAAGATTCATTTTTTTATGGAAATAGTTAAAACAAACTCGACTTAAGAGTTTCCAAATTCCCCCCTTCGTATTTGACCGTACGTGTTCCAAAGCCTTTGAGCCCCCGTCCACCTAAAATCACTCCCGAATCCTGTCATTATCAACTCGCACTTCTACCTCAACATCCCTCGGCACACCATCAAATATATCTGAAGAAATTCTTGTCCGATTTCATCGAACACTTTGTTCTAGCTTTTTAGCACTTATAAGAACTTAGTATTATCCCCTAACATCTTCTTTTCCAGCTTTGTTTGCTATATGTTTCAGTCAGTCTTCGGAAATTTGGTATTTTCAACACTCAAGTAAAATGGTGCCCAGTGTCAGGGATGACAACCCCCTTGGCATGTAAAAGATCGTTTCTCTAGAGTTCGAAAAAGAGTAAGCTCACTGGGGGCCGCCAGAGAAACCAAAATCCTTCAAAAACCGATTATTTAAATGATAGTCCGCCGAAACATGGCTGAAAAATAATTGCCGACTCGGCGTTAAACAATATAAAATCAATCAACCAACACTCAAGGAACAACACATTTATGTTCAAATGTTAAAAGTCTATTTTGTTTTCCAAAACCATATGCAAAATGAACTAGATGTACTGTGAGCAATTAGCTCACTAAATGATACCCCGGCCTCCCATATGAATATATTGACCATGTTTTGCTATGAGAAACCCAAAATATGTGTCGGATCAAGAAGTAAAATAGGAGGTCACTATGGCAATATGTAATAACGATTGTATGAAAATTTCATCAAATTTCATTCAGTGGTATGAGAGGAGTTGCGGATAAGAGATGGTACCCCAAAGCGTAACAGACGGACGGACATACCGATTACTCTATACCATCCCGCTTTTCAAGCGGGGGGTATAAAAAAACTCTGATATTTAAGACATGTAGCTCTTTTTTTGTGACCTCGTATAGATTTGTTGTCTTTTAGGGTAGATAGGTCATTCTATTAGCAAGAAAATTCTCAAACTTGATCATCTGAAATCACATTAATTGTGTGCATATTTTGGTGAGAAAAGTTGTAAAATTATGCAATTTAAGAGCACCTACAGATTCCTCGTGATTTCTATCACTTACAAGCTTTCGTACCAACAGCCCTAAGCCATTCCTGATTTCGATCTAGTCAACACTTCTCTTGACAACAAAATTTTGTTGAACATGTTGAACACTTCAAGAACTTTACAAGGCAACTTGATCGACACTTCTTTATTACGATAGTGTAAGGTTGTATCAAGAATCGAGGGGGGATTGAACACAAACATTTTCTTCTTTCAGATTTTGTAAATTTCAAAATTTTTAAATTTATATACACTGTTCAATACAAAATTATCCGTTCACAGCATGAAAAATTTGAGAATGCAGCTGAATTTTTGATTGAGAATAACAAAATGCAAATGTAGGGACACAGAATCAGAGCTGGGCAATCAAGAAAACTTATGGTTTACGTATATTATACTGATAATGTTTTAATATCTATGTTTATATTTGGATATTATAATATATTCAGATTTATATGATGTAACAATTACTAGTTCTATAATTGGTCGTGGTTAATCATTTTAAAAACCATACTAAGTTATGTTGCACTAGACCTTCCACATGAACATAAACATTTATTTTTTTCTACATGTAATTAAAGTATGCAAGGTAAAATGTCTTCGGAATTGTCGTCAAAAGTTTATCTTAATAATACATGTATAAGTAATTAAACAAAAATCCGTGTCATAAGAACCCTAAGTCATTAACAAAAATATCCTCCAACTTTTATTGCATATTTAAACATTATTTCATGAATAAAAAAAACCTGTAATTTATTTTCTGCAAAACGAACCAGAATTAAGCAGTTTGGGTATTTTACGAAATTCGAGTGTATAAGACGTCATTTGAATTGCCATTTTGAACTAATTAACACATATCAAATTTAACGACTAAATTTTCCGATTTAAAGTGATCAAATTAGTGTTCTTTTGTCATTTTACATAGTTCTACTACGCTCAGTAAAAT